CCTGGCTCTGAGTGACATCCCTCTGCTCAGCCTCGACGGAACTACACATGGATCAAGCTCGCGCCACCATGCCCGCTCATTTTTTATATAATATACAAACAAAAAAAAAAAAAATCCCAGTTGGTCAAATATATGAATTATAACATATTCTACATAATACCCAAACAGAAAAAAACGCAGGAGGAAGCGAGTATGCTATTGCATTATACATGTTTGAACCTGACCTTTAGAGCACACTCCAAATCCCAGCCTCCAAACCTCCCAAAGAGCTAGAGACCAATACCAGGCGTAGAGCACACCCGGACTGGAAGCAGACACAAAATACAATATTAATGATCAAAATAATAACAAACAGTATGAACTGCACAGCCAAGAGATATTAAACTAGGCAAAAAAACTATTCAATGCTGAAAAAAATCAAGAAGAATTAATAACAACCCATGACCATGAGAAACTGAATTAGCGAACATTGACATGCGAAAAACTACTCAAAATCGAACCAACATGAATCACATCAAAATCACGAGCCTAATAAAAATGTTCCATTGGGAGAAAAATATAAGCAAGACACCACAATATATTTAATGTATTAACAATCACTGCATCAGTAAAACAACAAACAAAACAATATGAAAAAACACTTTTGTCCTGAGAACAACCACAAAAACAGGAAGAATGATTAACTCATATTTTAACCTATAATTGTACTACCTCTGGAACAGTTTTTCAACCACATTTATTTTTCCTCTAAAGTTAAAACATTGGTACAAGAACCATTATCAAACATCTCGGCCCCATCCCCACACCAACAACACTCACTCACACAGCTCCCATACTATATCGAAAAAGCATCCATTAATTTTACGAGCTGCTACATCAAATAATTAATAATCTCTATTAACAAAATACTGTCCACCAAGTTCAACCCAAAGAGAAGTCCAAAGTTCACCGATGTTTATAAGTTGCTTAAAACAAAGGCTAACACCATGTTCTCATACTAATGAAATTCATAAAAAATCCTAACTCATTAATAATAAATCAACCTTGTCCTCAACCTCAAATTTTAT